CTGAGTAGTGAAGAAAAAAGGGTGCATTTAATTTATTCCTTCTGTGTGCAGATAAAAAAGTTTTTATCCATCCCACTGTGTATCAATTATTATCAATAATTACATTATTAATAATAGCAGCTATCTCCACTGCGTAGTGTCAGCATGGATCCTGGTCTTCTGAATGATAGGCTTGAAAGTTTTGTCTTTTTCTTTGTTAATAGACTGTCCTAGCAAATTATCTAGGACAGCTGTTTGCCTACATGCCAGGTACACATATTAAATGCAGTGAGATTTTATTAACAGGCATCCAATAAAATGTTGATCTGTGAGTAAGTATCCATTTCTTGCCAGAATTAGTCTTTAACCTCTGCAGGAGTTCATAGGGTACAATATTTTCATGCTTTTGATTTTGTTTGGTTTCTCTTACTTGTTGTTGTTGTTGCTGCTGCTGCTGCTATGGGCTTGTCCACAATACAGTTTACTGTGCTTGCAGCTGCTTGCATTTCCGTTTAATTTGCATGGTCCCATAGGACATTAACAGCCCCAATCTCAATACTTCCTCCCCCTCAGTGTTTGGCTTCACCAAATACAGTACAGGGATAATCCGATAAATTGGGCGCCAACTGTTCCACTTGGGTCACAGTTTATTTGAGGTGGATGGATCAATGGTCACTTTCTGCTATTCTCCCTTCCATGTCCACTACTTCCTCAATGCTTTCATTTCTTTTCTGGCCATGCTTGTAACTATTTCCAACACATTCTAGCATACGCTCCAACTTTTAATATCACAAATCTGTGACATCCCCATCATGCCACCCCTCCCAGGCCATGACAGTGGAGGAGGAAGTGGGACATCCAGGATTGACATCAGAAGCTGGAGCGGCTTCTGTCAATCAGGGCTGTCCCGCTCAAAGTGGGACAGTTGGCAGGTATGTTCTTGTATGGAGAAGTATAGCTTCATATACATTTTTTCTTTGATCCCTCAAATTTGCCCATAACCAGAAAACTACACAAGCAAACCATATTAAAAATGGTGTGCTGAGAATTTACAAAAAACAACAACCCCCAAAACAAAACCCAGCAACCTGGGAACAATCGGGGGAAGGATGGTGGTGCTGATGCTGTCTCTGCACTGCCCTTGCAGAACAACTTGAGAACCATCAGGAAAAGGGGGATAACGGTGACGATGCCTCTGTGCTGTGTCCTCCCCAGCTTTGGAACAATACACATTGTATGGCATGCAGCAGCCATAACTTCCCCTGATATCATAGCCAATTGGGTGGTCCTTTCAACTCCAGCAAGTGCTCTGTGCTACAGAGCCAGAAGAAGCATTATACTTATCCCTCTGCTTGGGTCAGGTTGGTGACTTCCAGCTTAGAAGGTTGCCTGCACATGATGCTTTCTAACTTTCTAGAAGGGCTAGACAATTACAGTGGTACCTCGTTTTATGAAATTAATCCATTCCGGAAGTCTGCTCGAAAACCGAAACCTTTCTTAAACGGAGGCATGCTTTCCCTAACGAGGCCTCCCGCCGGTGGTGCCCTTCCACTGTTCGGATTCCGTTCTTAAACCGAGGTAAAGTTCTCAAACCAGGACACTATTTCTGGTTTTGCGGAGTTTGTAAACCAAATCATTCTTAAACCGGACTATTCTTAAACCATGGTACCACTGTCACTGACGGAGGAACACCGTCCCCGGCAGCACGATCCCAGTGGGGTGCCATCATGGCTGCCCCCCCCTGTGCTGGGCACCACGCACCCGCTGGTGGCTTGCCATGCCCCTGCGGGCAGCGTGCCACGCCCCCGGGACATGTGCCACACCCCCGGGATGCATGCCAGCCATGCCGCCGCCTGCTCTCTGCCTCCCCCTGCTGGAGCTTGAAGCTCCGCCACTGACCACTGTGCTATTTTTTAAAAGGGTGGAGCCTCTGCTGGCATAGGCCCTGGTGCAATTACTCCTGATCTGAACCTCGGATTCCTATTGCCTGGTGTACAAACAACCCATTTATCAATCATAGCTCTGACTTCTCTCATTGGCTAAAAACACTGACAGGTGGGAGAGAAGCCAGGCTGGCTCATTTAATAGAAAATGCTTAGAAGACTTCTTGAACATTGTGCTTCATAACTTTCAAGAAGGGCTAGAGATTTACAAGAAGGAAGGAAGGAAGGAAGGAAGGAAGGAAGGAAGGAAGGAAGGAAGGATAGGCACCAGGTCTCAGTGACCTTGGGTGCCGTGGTTCCCACAACATTTTAAATGAGGAGGCCGAGCACCCACAAAGTTCAGTATGGCCATGTGTGCACACACACCCTGGCATGCATGCACTACATCATCACAGCCCTGGTGGGCATGAGCTATGACCCTGTGCCCTGCTACATGCACAAGTGATGTCAGCAAGCCAGGGAGAAGTGATGACGTAGCACAAATGCCCCCTGAGGTGTAAGTGCGGCCCCCGGTGATGGCGCACGGCCCCGGGCAGTTGCAGGGGCAAGACAGTGCTGCAGGCAGGAAGGAAGGAAGGAAGGAAGGAAGGAAGGAAGGAAGCTGAGAGTCTGCCAGTTAAGGCCTTCATGAACACTGATTTGAACTGAGTAGTAGGGGAAATGGAAACAATGCAACAAACTGAAATACTAGATTCCAACAATGGCAATTCATTGTTTGTAGTCACGTTTCAAGGATATCTTCTGATGTTAACAATGTATACTTATAACTCGGGGGCCTTCAGCTGCAGAGGGTCCTAATTCTTGTGCATGCTATGCATACTTATAAATCTACCACTGATAAAGGGGTATCTGTTGAATTCTTCAGGAGGATCAACTGTTTGTATTGAAGCCTCAGGATAGGGCAAGGTGAATGGAAAGAATGTGAAGGGAAAATAAAAAGAAGGTAGCTTTAGCTTTCTTGGGGGTTTGAACTCATGCTCATAGTTGTTGAACCAGCAGAAGTATTTCTAGCAGGGTATTTACCAATGCACCAGTGTGAACCATAAATAAATTCCTTTCCACTTGTATAACTTGTTCTTCGTGGTTATGCTAGCGCTAAACCTGTCTGCAGCTTAGAATTGCTTTTATTCTCCTTTCAGCTATTAAAATGGCATGGGAAATACGAGAGTAGAGTAATGCTACAAAAATATAAGTTAAATGTTTTATATGGTACTTTTAACGAGAAAGATTGCAAAAAAAAGTTGTAATTTTTACCACTGCTTAAATTTCCCTTTGGAACTACAGGCTCATCCTTGGGCATAATAATAATTTTTAATTGTAGCTCTATTGCTATTTAAGCAAAAGGAAAGAAGTGAGCTATAAAAACTGCACAAGCATTTAAGGTTTTGAAACATAATGCTGAAAAGAATAATTTGCTTATTTCTACCAGAGCTTACAGCTGGTTGCCAAAATTGTCCCTGAGCACTTTTTAAGACAAGCTGTCTTAATTTGCTAATGACAGAAGAGTCTCTACTTTATCTTTTTGTTGCTTGATTTGCTTTTTGCATCCCGTGCTTCAAGTGTTCCAAAACATGGAATCCTTTAGAGGAGATGCTAACGCAATGAGAGATGCATCGGTATAGGAGTTGATAACCATGCTCAGCTCTTTAATAATGGCAAAGGTCTGTGCTGTGCCACCTGCCACCATCTGTAGCCCCTATTTTAAGCAGAGAGCAACAGCATTTGCCTTAAACCTGTGCATGGATTGTGTGTTTCTCCTAAGGAGCTCAATCTGTTTGTTTGGCCCAGCAATGTGGAATATTCTGCCAACTTTGCTTCCCCATACATAGGTGGCAATATCCCCAGCAAGCAGGTAGTCTAGAAAAGACTCTTCCCTTTTTTTTTAAAAAAAAAAAAGGCATTTACTTACTTACTTACTTACTTACTTACTCACTTACTAAAAAGGACTCTTCATTAAAAAAAAAATAGGCATTTACTTACTTACTTACTTACTTACTTACTTACTCACTTACTAAAAAGGAGCAGGTCACCTTAAAAAAACCATTGGAAGACTATAAAGGACCAAAGAATACAGCAGTAGAACTTATGTACCCATACGAAGTCTTTCCACAAGTCCGTGCCAATATGGGAGATTTGCATTATATCAGTCTCTGCAGCATCTAAATGTACTTCACTTAGGCATGATTCAAGCATCCAGGCAAGTGCATGAGTGGCCCTGGTAGATGGTCACATGAAGTCCATTTCATATGGCAAAGCTGTTTGTGTATATTCAGTAGTCTTCTCAATGCTTTTGACTACCTTCCCCCCTGGGGGAAATGTTCTAATGGCATTCTCAAGATTGTTGAAACTGCATGAGGAGTTGTTTCACTTGCCACATGGAGTAGCCTCCCCACACAGTGATATGTCAAGAGCATATGTATTTATTCCAGCATGAAGTATCTATATCTCTTGGATATGTCTGTGCATTCAGAAAAAGAAAGGCATTGGGGCATTTTGAGGCTCTGCTGGTTTGACAGCATCAGATGGCATACAATCTGCTGTTGCCAGAGCAGCTGATAAGCCTGCCATCAATGATACAAATTAAATAAAACAAAGCAGGTTGCCAGCCCTATCAGACATTAAATATCAGTAATGTCCTTCCTTCTTATGAGTAGACTAGTGCCCAGAAGTACATCCCCTTATTCTTCATGTAGTTTTCTCTCAGTTCCTGACTAGCTATTCATACACAAACCTCTCTTCCAGTTCATATGAAAGTCTGTTCCTAATCTAGCATTCTGTTTCCTCCAAAGGCTAACCAGTTGTTTCTGAGAAGTTCATAAGCAGGACATGAAGGCAGCGGCCTTGTCTTGTCTATCCACAGCATCTGGTGCTCAGAAACCTGAAGCTTCAATTAGCTATTATAAAGATTGGCTGTTTATCTTATACTACAGGGAGAGAAATCTGTGGCCCCTGAGATGTTGTTGGACACCAGCTCCCATAAGCCCCAGACAGCATGGCTGGTGGTGGTTAAGGATGACTGGAGCTGTAATCCAACAATGTCTGGAGGCTCATGGGTTTCTCATTCCCTTTCTTTAGGTAAGGGCCATAGCTCAGTGTTAGAGCATCTGCTTTGCATGCAGAAGATCCCAGGTTCAATCCCTGGAGTCTCTATGGTAGAGCTGGAAGAGAACCCCACCTGAAATCCCAGAGAGCTGCTTCCAGTCTGTGTAGATGTTATTGAGGTAGGTAAAGGGTAAAGGTAAAGGACCCCTGGATGGTTAAGTCCAGTCAAAGGCGACTATGGGGTTGCGGTGCTCATCTCGCTTTCAGGCCGAGGAAGCCGGTGTTTGTCTACAGACAGCTTTCCGGGTCATGTGGCCAGCATGTACTAAACCACTTCTGGTGCAACCAAAGTGCACGGAAGCACCGTTTACCTTCCCACCACAGCAGTACCTATTTATCTACTTGCACTGGCATGCTTTCGAACTGCTAGGTTAACAGGAGCTGGAGCAGGGCAACAGGAGTTCACTCCGTTGTGGGGATTCGAACTGCCGACCTTCTGATTGGCAAGCCCAAGAGGCTCAGTGGTTTAGACCACAGCGCCACCTGTGTCCCAATACTGAGGTATATAGACTTGGTATAAGGCAGTTTCCAATGTATAATAGCTTTGTGAAAACGTTTGCCCCCAAACTTCATACTCCTTACCAAGGAACAAATAAAGGTACTTCATCAGCAAGACAAGATTCTTTCATTTCCTGTTTACTACTCGTTGTTACTTTATTATATATTGCACCACCCACAGGCTATAACAATCTCAAAATATGAACAACACAGAATGTCAGAAAATAACCTAAGACTAAAAGAATCCAATACCGCCAGATTGGTTAGTTTTTGCAGTGAATAGGACAAAAGTTATGTACACCTCTATATTTTGGGGATCTTAACACCAAACAAATTAGGTATTATATAGGGATGGGCCATAGGAGAATGTGCCTAAATTCAGAATTGCCATATATTAGACATATCATTTGATTATCTTACACCAGACACTAGATACTGCTCTTTAATAGCACAAGCCTATGTATGTCTGCTCAAAAGTACCGTATTTTTCACACCATAGGGCGCACCTGACCATAGGGCGCACCTAGTTTTTAGAGGAGGAAAACACACACAAAAATATTCTGAATCAAATGTTGCACTAAACTATTTAAAGCAGCAAAGCGGGCGGCTCCTGTCCGCTTTGCTGCTTTAAATCGAGCCTCAGAGGAGGGTAGGAAGGGGAACCATGGCTTATCTAAGTCCAGTTAATAATGCTGAACCTGACATGGCCATCGAGATTAGCCTGGCCGTCTCAGTGGAAATCTGGGGAGGCTGAGGTGGAAATTCCAGTGGTCAAAGTGTGGTTGTGTCTTCCTGCCCGGCATCTATTTCCTGCCCTCTTTCTCCCCTGCACCCCCGCACCCTGCTTCCAGGGAAGGAAGCGGAGCCATGGATCCTCTGCTCGCAACTGCAGTGGATTCCATCCACTTTGAAGCAGGAAAGTGGGAGTGTAAGCTGCTCCCCTCCCACTTTGCTGCTTCAAAGGGAGCCCAGGAGGAGGGAATCCTCTGCAGCCGCAAGCAGAGGATCCATGGTCCCCTTCCTTCCCTCCTCCGTGATTGCTTTGAAGCAGGAAAGTGGGAGAGGAGCTGCTTACATGAGTGTAAGCTGCTCCCCTCCCACTTTGCTGCTTCAAAGGGAGCCCGAGGAGGAGGGAATCCGCTGCATAGATCCTTCCTTCCCTCCTCCGTGAGTTGCTTTGAAGCAGGAAGCCGGAGAGGAGCTGCTTACATGAGTGCTGCGCTGCTCCTCTCCTGTGCTGCTTCTAGGGAGCTGGGGAGGAGGATCCTGCAGCTTCCCCACCTCCCGGAGAGCCCGCAGAAGCCGCCAGCTCTTTAAAGGGGCTGCGCGGCTTCTCCTGGCTTTTCTGGGGGGTGGGAGAAGGGACTGATGCAGCCAGTCAGTCCCTCCTCCCTCCTGTGGAAAAGCCCGCAAGAGCGCACGAAGCTTGTGTGTGGCTCTTGGGGGCTTTTCCCGCCTGCCTCCCCCTTGCATTCGCTCCATAGGACGCACACACATTTTCCCTTGCTTTTTAGGAGGGAAAAAGTGCGTCCTATATAGCGAAAAATACGGTAAATCCTGCTAAGTTCAATAGGCTTAAGGTAAAGGTAAAGGTACCCCTGCCCGTATGGGCCAGTCTTGACCGACTCTAGGGTTGTGCGCTCATCTCACTCTATAGGCCGGGAGCCAGCGCTGTCCGCAGACACTTCCGGGTCACGTGGCCAGCGTGACAAGCTGCATCTGGCGAGCCAGCACAGCACACGGAACGCCGTTTACCTTCCCGCTGGTAAGCGGTCCCTATTTATCTACTTGCACCCGGGGGTGCTTTCGAACTGCTAGGTTGGCAGGTGCTGGGACTGAACGACGGGGGCGCACCCCGCCGCGGGGATTCAAACCGCTGACCATGTGATCGGCAAGTCCTAGGCGCTGAGGTTTTACCCACAGCGCCACCTGCGTCCCAGCTCTCCAGCCCTCTATATCTGGTCTTCAGGGCTATGTCCGGACCACACCCGTCTCCCCAAGCCACAAGGCTCCTCAAGGCTTTTGCCTGGCTGGATTGTGTCCTTGAACTGTAATAAAGGCTCTGAGCTATTAATATAGTATAATGCAGCCTGCTGAACAAAGATACGCTTTCATTGTTATGTCTGCTTTTGCCTCTGGCTTCCTGACTGTTCATTTCCATCATTGTCAAACATCTGGGTCATGTCTGGGGGGTGGGGAAGTTGTTTTAGGGACACATGGGCTAGCAGTACACCTGATGCATCTGGCGGCTATAACCCTACCACCCATGTATTCAAACCATGTACTCCACCCAGGAAGGAATCCTAGACCTGAACTCATGGACACCAGTGAGTGCATGGCCACCTGGTGCATGATGGGCAGAGATGGGGCTACTCCAGACAGCCCTATAGCCCCACCACATGCTATTTCAGTGCATGGAGGGGAGCCCTGGTAAGTTGCAGATGGGGAACGTTCCATGTTAGGTCGATAAAGAAAAATCATACAGTACATCATGTGAAATAAGAACCGCCCCTTTTTATTGCACTTTGCAGTGACGTGCAGCACAAAATGGCATCACAAGCAAGAGAGAGGTAGCCCTGTATGTATTCCATACAGAGTGCCCTGTGAGCAGCAGTTGCATTTGCAAGAATATACCACTACCGTGATGCCTCCCAAACAAAAGGGGCTTGAGAGTAGATTGCACCTTGTATAAGATTGCACTGTTAATCTTTGTATGATCTCTAAAGCTCTCCTTTGAATCCTTTTTCACTTTGTCAGTGCTGTTCTTGATTGGTGGTGTCCAAATATGAACACATTGTGTCAAAATGAGCTCTTACCACCGACAAAGAAATAGGCCGCATTGTTGCCATAGTCTTGGATATGACTCTTGTTTAGACCATCTAAAATTGTTCTGTCTTTTTGTGATTGTTGTTGCTTTCTATCTGTCAAAGCACTACATTCCTGATTCATATTCAATTGGTTATATCCACCCTAAGCCCTAAATCTTCTCTAATACCTCTGGCTAACATGGATACTTAATTTTCTGTTTTCAACAGTACTAGTAGTAATGTATTGCAGATTAATGACAGAAATTGAAAATTTTAGACAGAAAGATAATCAACAAGAAAACGTGCTGAAAGTATTAGTACATATATACATGTCATAGACTCATAGAATCCTAGAGTTGGAAGGGACCCAAGGATCATCTAGTCCAACCCTCTGAAATGCAGGAATCTCAGCTAAAGCATCCATGACAGGTTACCATCCAACCTCTGCTTAAAAACCTCCAAGGAAGTAGAATCCACCACCTCTTGTGGGAGTCTGTTCCACTGCCGAACAGCTTTTCCTGTCAGAAAGTTTTTCTGAACGTTTAGTTGGAATCTCCTTTCTTGTAACTTGAAGCCATTGCCTTGAGTCCTACTCTCCAGAGCAAGAGAAAACAAGCATGCTTCCTCTTCCATGTGACAGCCCTTATGATATTTGAAGATGGCTATCATATTTCCTCTCAGTCTCCTTTTTCCAGGCTAAACATACCCAGCTCCTTCAAGTGTTCCTCATAAGGCTTGGTTTCCAGACCCTTGATCATCTTGGTTGCCCTCCTCTACACATGTTCCAGCTTGTCAACATCCATTTTAAATTGCAGTGCCCAGAATTGAACACAGTGTTAATATATGTATAATATATCTGGCACCTAACTGGTCACCTGTACTGTTTCAGATTTGTGTCTCTGTCCAGGACTAGGGCATCTGCTAGTTTGCTCCTGCTCCTCACCCTGCATGATTTCCCAGCTCTTTTCTTCTTCTGGGGTGTGTCCTGTTTGCACCACCATGAACCTGGGTCCATGCTATCTTCATCTGCCTCTTGCCCGGAAGCCTCCTGGGGTGACTGTCTCCACCACTCTTTCTCTTCTGGCCAGTCCCTGAAATCACCATTGATGGTTTGCAGCTAAATATGTGAACATGTGTATTTCCTGTATTTGTACTCACCTGCTGATCTTCAGGTATAAAATTGTCTCCTAAGTTGCAGCTCTTTTCTTTATTTTATTAAAGAAATATAACTTTGCCTATTTTCTGGAAGATTCTGGATGGTGGTGGCAATGACCAGCATTCTGTTCAAAACTTTTGCTAATGTTTACATCCTCACACACAAGGAAAGGTAATCTGAAGCACATGTTGCAGTAGGGGAGACTTAATTATAAACACCTACACACTCTTATTTCAAAGGCACAACTTCTCCACTAAGCAAGTTTCAAAACGGTTGCCCTCTATCAAAACCAGTGAACCAGATACGAGGCCTTTGAAACAAATTTAAGTGTCTTCCTGACTTCACCAGACTTCGGTTTCATCACAGGTCATGGGCTCTATGAAGTTCAAGGAAGATCCATTCGATTTCTATCTGAATAATTACAACATTGAAAAGTGTTGGTCATATGCTACCTTGGTGCACTACAAGAGACTACATAGAATGGGGGCAGGGAGTGATTGCTTCAAACCTTTAGGTCAAGTTGCAGCTTACTGACTGACATGATTTTCAGTGCCTGTTGAAGATGGTAGGAAAGAAACATGGTGTGTGGAGTGTAAGAGTCAGGCAAATGGAAAAACAAGCCAGCAGGCACAGACTGAAGTCTCAGCATGCTCAGGAATGAGGACCCTGTAGGCCTCCAGATGTTGTGAGATTTCTGTTCCTATCAGCCCTGGACAGTGTGACCAATAGGCAGAGCTCATGGGAGTTGTATTCTAGCAACATCTGATGGGGGCATGAGTTCCCCCCATCCCTATTTTAGAACAAACCTTGGTAGGAAAGTTTGCAAGTTTAGAAGGGTATGCATTTTAATAAAGCTTGAGAAATTCTGGGCCGAAGGGTTCATCATAATGTGCATTTGGAGTTTGCAGTTCAAGACATATTATCTTCAAATGTTTTGCTGGTAGTTGATAGTTCTCTGAAAAATACTGGTGAAATTAAGTTCATTTCTCAAAAAGCCCAGTTTTCTTTACAGAGTAATTCCAGTTTTGTCAAAGAATAAATGCTACTCCATTTGTATCCAGCCTCCTGTCCCAAAAGCATTGTTTGTTTTCTTTGTTTCGGGTGGACAGGGGAATTGATTCACTAATGTTTAATTCATGAAAATATATCTTCTAAATGTGGCTTCCAATACATATGAGGAGCAAAAGTATTGCTAACGGAGGCACCTCATGAAATCTCTCTGCTTCTGCAACAAAAGGTTCAGCAAATTGAATTATTACTACTAATGGATGTCCCAACTCCATAATTGTACTCCAGCTTCGAATACTGTAGAAGCAATTAGCTCCCTTCAGAAATACAGATCATAAGTCCATTGTAATCAGGAAAATAGGACATCTGGACTTAAAGAAAGGAGTGCTGCTTTGTCAGAAATCTGACAAGTTACTGTCAACTTGGTGGAACGTTTCAAGCCATTCTACCCTGATGTCTATTCTTAAAGCTGATCATAATGATATACGAATTTCCCACCTTTTGGTCCTTCTTAATTAATATATACAACCTAGTGAAAATAAATAAATTCTAGGCACAGAGCTTTTTCCTGCTGTGCATAGATCCCATAAATACTTATAAAAATGATGAAATGTCATGCTAAGTAGTGATTCTAGGAAATGCAGCATTTTTCATTTTCCTTTGGGCCTCTGTCCAGTTGGGGCTATTGCAATACAGCAGCTGCAGCACAATCTCTACCTTTTCCACACAAAAGGAACACCAGGAGCAGAGCTGGCTCCATTCAACTATAGGCAAGCAGAGGGATTAATGGGGACAAAATCAGGGGACAGAGGTCCATGTCATTATTATTATTCTTATTATTATACCTCTTCACAGCCTGAAGCCATCAAAGAGGCGAACCATAAAATAAAGATACAATCTCTTTAAAAAATGATACAGAAAAGATCCTCAGCTCATTTGCTAGAGCATAGGACTCTTAATCTCAAGGTTGTGGGTTCGAGCCCCATGCTGAGCGAAAGAGTCGTGCATTACAGGGGGTTGGACTAAATGGCTCTCAAGGTCCCTTCCAACTCTGCAGTGCTATGATTCTAAGGGTGTCTTGGGAGGCAGAAAAACTAATGTATCAGCCCATTTCATCACTTTAAGAGGCACAAGTGGCATTCAAAGCAATGAAGTTTATCTGCTCTGGATTATAAACTGCTGTGGTTGTTTCCCTAACTCACTAATATTATGTTTAGGGGCAGCTGCTCCTTGGAGGCTACATGGAGGTGCCACACAGAGGAGAAGTCTTTTCACTCATAGAATTTCACTATACAGATCACACACAACCATTACAAGTCACCATCAACAATATTTGATGTCTGATGATCTACTATGCTGATCTGCAGTATGATCCAGTACACGTGAAACAGGAAATACCGGTAAGTTTCAAGGATGCTTTGTTGAGTGAATTAAACCTAGGCTTGCCTTATTCAGTGCTTTAATCAACTGGGTGGCCACATAGGAAAGCAGTAATGTCTTTTTGATTTATTGCATATAGGTCCCTAGTCACAGGTTGTATTTACTTCCTTGGCAGAATATTAAGCTTGCAGCCAGATACTTAGAAAGCCAAACCCTACCAGTTTAGCTGATCAGAATGAAACACACTCCCCCTACCACGTGTGTTTGTGGATGTCTTTGTTTCTCAGTTTTGTGTCTTTAATACAACTAGAACACTTCTGTAGATATAGAACAGATTTCTGCTAGGGAGGCAATACTTTCGCTTGATGTTACTTTATGGACCATTTTGTACTACAGCTGGTATCTAGGGTATTTTTTTTCCTGCAGTATCTGCCTTTTGCTTTCCCATGCTGCATATGTTACTATGGCATCCTTGAGCTTTGGGGATGTACATCATCAAATTTACTTGTAAAGGAACTGTTGGCATAGTTAACCTTACACTCTCTTTCTGTGGCATGCTTAATGCTTGCAGCACATGGCAGAGAGAATGACCTTGCAAATGGATAATGTGACACAACTGCTCAGGCAAGAGGACCATGCCTCACTGAAGAGGGCTGAATTAGGATGACCTTCCAACCAACCAGTTTTATGATTCTGGAAGTTTTCTTTAAAAGTGTTCCTTCCGTTCATTAACTATTAAGGAAACGACACTGCTTCAAATAAAGAATTTTTGTATTTTTATGTCTGGAAAGTGACTGCTATTTATCATACTTGCATTAGGTAGACTATAAACGGAAGTACTAAGCAACTGATTCATATTTGTGATACCGTAATAAACAATCAAGAAAGTGTGCTAATATTTTTCTGAATATTTACGAAAATCTTATTTAATATGAGACAATCAGTGTAGCTGTACAGTGGACACTCGGGTTGCGAACGTGATCCGTGAGGGAGGCATGTCCACAACCCGCAGCATTCGCAACCCACAGCGCTCCATCTGTGCACGTGTGGGTTGTGATTTGGTCTTCTGCACATGCGCGAACGCCGAAACCCAGAAGTAACCCATTCTGGTACTTCCGGATTCGGCATGGTGCAGAACCCAAAATTGTGTAACCTGAAGCATTTGTAACCCAAGGTACCACTGTATTGGGAGTGGCCTGTTTGGTGACACCTGTTGATAAAAACCAGTACTAATAAGGCACGTTTTAAAGTGGAATTATGAGGAAATGGGAAAACTGGATGTGTTGTCAGATAAGTACAGTCTTCAGCCAGAACGAAGTTGTGCAATGACTAATTCAAACCTGGCTTATTTTAGTCTAATTAAGGCCATTTATAACTTAGCTACTCACACCCAATAACAACCTTCTATGCTTATTTACTAGGAATTCTAGAAGCAAGTTATTACTGCCTGCAACATCACATGTGAAGCCAATAGAGGAGGGGGTGTACTATGCCTTTTTTGATAGCCCAACTGTAAAGTGAAAAAAACTGCATAAGGGCTGGGTATCAGCTCACCAGCTTGACAGATGTTTCCACCATCCAGTGCCCTCCCCACATCCCAAGCCTCCAGGGTCTTCAGTTCTGCCAATGCATTTTTTAACATCTAAATGAAGCTGCTGGGAGAGATCATCAGAGGGTTTGGGCTGGGTGTTCATCAATATGCGGATGATACCCAGGTCTACCTCTCTCTTAAATAGGAACCAGAGAGGGAAGTGAAGGTCCTGTGTGAGTGTCTGGAGGCCGTTGGAGGATGGATGGCGGTTAACGGATTGAGGTTGAATCCTGACAAGACAGAAGTACTGTTCTTGAGGGACAGGGGGTGGGCTGGTGTGGAGGACTCCCTGGTCCTGAATGGGGTAACTGTGCCCCTGAAGGACTAGGTGCGCAGCCTGGGAGTCATTTTGGAATCACAGCCATCCATGGAGGTGCATGTCAATTCTGTGTCCAGGGCAGCTGTCTACCAGCGCCATCTGGTACACAGGCTGAGACCCTATCTGCCCATGGACTGTCTTGCCAGAGTAGTGCATGCTCTAGTTATCTCCCGCTTGGTCTATTGCAATGCGCTCTTCATGGGGCTACCTTTGAAGGCGACTCGGACACTGTAATTAATCCAGAATGCAGTAGCTAGACTGGTGACTGGGAGTGGCCGCCGAGACCATATAACACCTGAGATACCTGCATCGGCTCCTGGCACATTTCCGAGCACAATTCAAAGTGTTGGTGCGGACCTTTAAAGCCCTAAACAGCCTCAGTCCTGTATACCTGAAGGAGCGTCTCCACCCCCATCGTTCAGCCCGGACACTGAGGTCCAGCGCTGAGGGCCTTCTGGCGTTTCCCTCACTGAGAGAAGTGAGGTTACAGGGAACCAGGCAGAGGGCCTTCTCAGTATTGGTGCCTTCCCTGTAGAACGCCCTCCCAACAGATGTCAAGGCAATAAGCAACTATCTTACTTTTAAAAGACATCTGAAGGCAGTCCTGTTTAGTGAAGTTTTTTAATGTTTAATGCTGTATTGAGTTTTAAATATTCGGTTGGAAGCCACCCAAAGTGGCTGGGAAAACCCAGCCAGATGAGTGGGGTATAAATAACAACAACAACAACAATAATAATTTACATGAGTATAGGTCACTTACATATTACTAAGCTCATAGGAGAATGAGGAGCTAGAGTCTGGAACCAAACTGGATCCTCTTGCTGGTTTGCAATTTTTTAAAAAAAAACAACACCACCACTTTGGCTAAACCAGTTAACTGGTTTTGTAAGTCAGCTTTTGATCCTGTTTGAGCTCTACCATGATCTGTTGGGCGGATGAGTTTGAATAATAGATGCACCACATTAACTGCTTCATTTAATGGTGGTTTTCTCATTTAGGTCCCCAAATCTTTTTCACAAGCTGAAGCCAGGCTCTGCATCTCCAGGACTTCTGTATCACATACACTAGCTGCCGTGTATTTCTCTGGACCTGTGTGCTAGCTGGAGAAAAGAAAAGTGCTTGCCTGCATGTGCAGATTATTGTAGACTGTGATAAAAACATTTGCTAGTCTTGAGAGAGAATACCTGGGCTGATGTCAAAATCAGGCTCCCTCCCAGGCAAGGCAAAGGTCTCTGTGGCTTGGGAGGCGAGAACAGCTAGAAGGAAAGAATCAGCTGAGCAGGGAAAAGTAGATAAGTAAAAAGGAAGAACAGCCACAGGGAGAGATCACTGAAGTCAGGTGCCATCAGAAGAGAGATAACTTGTGCGTGCAAGAGCAAGATGGTGCAAACCTGTGTTTGAATCCTGTTGTGTTCAATGGGCTTACTCTGTAGTAAGTGTGTTTAAGCTTTTAGCCTAAGACAGTCTAAGCCAAGGATGTGGTTCTGCAACAAAGGAAATGGACTCCCACCTAAGGTTGTTAAGTAAAACATTGTTAGGTCCAAGTGCCACTAACCAACTTAGTCTGGTTGACAGTGCAAGGTTTACTTATGGACATGGCACCTGTGGGTAAGTCCATCTTGTAGCTTCTGCTCTGCATATTTAAATTAGGGGTATGTGCAATTTTGTCTCATAGAGTTGGTTTGATTAGGCTTGTCATACATCAGGAAAATTCCTGACATGTCCTGGTTCCCGGGTGTAAAAATGGCAAGGAGGGGGGATTTTGCTGAATCAGCAAAATGTTAGGGAAAACCCGGATGTATGGCAATGTGATGGAAAAAGCAGCGGAAACAGCTTCAAAAGGTTAATTTGGGTTTGGCCCCAAATGGCAACCCTAGATTTGATGATATATTTACACTCTCCATACTAACAGTGTAATCCTAACAATAGCTACTCAGAGGCAAGTCCTATTGAATTCAAAAGGGCTTATTCTTGGGTAAGTAGGTGGAAAAAGTAAATATGTTTTGAAATGTCATAAATTAGGAAGGTCATTGAAGGGTTTTAAAGATGAGTTCCCTCTAAGAGGATGTGTGAAACTGTTGGAAACCTCTACCAGAAAAAAGGCACTTGCTCATTTGTCTATAATAATTTGTTTAAATATGTGCAATTAATGTTATTGATCACATTGCTGAGCATTATTTTTGCTTTGTTTTTAAATTATTTGCTGGATTCCCTGGAACCATAAAGGCCAGCTACACTGGATACTAGCACTGTGTAAAATAAAAATAGTATCATTGCTTGCAGCGGTCTTCATCAAAGAAGACTTTGAGGACTAGACATAGGTTCTCCTGTTTGATGATAATAAGGCACAAGGGGGGGGGAGAGGTATCAGAAGAAGCACTGCAACAAATCGATCATTTAAATTGCAGTAAGTCACCAGGGCCGAAACTTCGTTCCAGCAGACCTGCAGTGAATTAAGAGCAGAGTGAGAAAGCTATTGCGAAGAGTCATGCCAAAGCCCAATATACTGCTTTAGAACAAAGGCTTTTAAATTTATTAATGAGTAATTCATATTAGTCACTTCTTTTTAGTATTAAAAAGATACAGCGGGAGGGGAAGAAGAAAAGAATCAGGCTGATTATTATGTATACAATTCTTGGCCTCCAACGCAAGGTTCCTGCTGTGAGCCTGAGATGACTGACAACTCATTTTTTCAGCCTAGCCTTGTCAAGCACCAACTTTCAGCACTGATGTCACCAGTGGCAGGACCATTCTGATAAGGGGGAGATACAGGATGGATCGCCTTCCATCTTGTTGAACAACATCCTCTTTGCTTTTGAAGTTGCTCTTAACAATAACAAGAACATATTCCTAATGCTCTTTAACTTTTCAAAAATACACTAGAACAATGTGAATAAAGCAGCTGTGAGCTAGAAAGTGGCATTTATTGATACTCAAGTCTGCAGAATGCTGAACATTAAAGTGCCTGCTTAGTGGAGGCCTGACAAGGATTTGTGATGTTTGTATATTTTGCCAATAATTAGAATTTGAGTTCAATATATCTCCTTCCTTGATTGTCACATCTATGTATGTTAAATTGTATTTTACCGTTTTCTTCTGTGATTCTGGGCTAGTTATAGAGATTGATTTGTTTGTTGTGCGCAGTCTCTGCATAAAGGTATTAGAAGATACAATGCAGTCTTGCAAATAATATATCTCAAGAAAAGAGTGTTTGGGAAGAGTTTATCTGGAGCTCTAAAAGTTATGGCAGAACAGGAAATGGAAAAGGTAAAAGCCTCATTTTGAGGGGGGAGAACTGAGTGAGAGACGTAGGCTGAAGGAATGCAGGTATAAACAACCAGAGCCGCCTTTGAAATATTACACGAACAACACAGTACAGTGGAAGTTGAAATGTCAACTCATACATTTTGTTTTTGGGCAAAGAAAATGTAGAAGTGCTGCAAACGACCAGCAGAAAAAAAAGGAGAGAGAGATTGCTGGAAAACACCATGGCCTTGAGGATGTTGCTGAGGAAGAAAAGTTTATTTAGTACTTTAAAAAAGAAAAAGCTGTTTTGTGAGAGAAGTCCTATGGAGTGCCCTCAAGCAGGGTGCAAAGCAAGGGGGAGGAGGACATGCAGCAGAAGGCACAGGGCAAGGAAGGCACCCTTTGGATGGACATAGTAAAAGAAAAGAAAATGTCCCACCACCAAATTGTTGGGGCTGCATTCGTAGTTGCTTGGGGGCCTACATCAGTCATGCAGGCCAAGGGTTCTTCACCCCTACAGCAGGGTATAGTGCCAACAACAATAACAGAACCCTGTCTGGCCAGTATCTGAACTCATAAATTCTCCTTCATGCACAACTTTGAGGTCTACCTCTCTTTTTTGCTTTTCTACAAATAAATAATAATAATAATAATAATTTATTATTTATACTCCACCCATCTGGCTGGGTTTCCCCAGCCACTCTGGGCAGATTCCAACAAAATATTAAAATACAATAGTCCGTCAAACATTAAAAGCTTCCCTAAACAGGGCTGCCTTCAGATGTCTTCTAAAAATCTGGTCGTTGTTTTTCTCCTTGACATCTGGTGGGAGGGCGTTCCACAGTGTGGGAGCCGCTACCGAGAAGGCCCTCTGCATGGTTCCCTGTAACTTGGCTTCTCGCACTGAGGGTACCGCCGGAAGGCCCTCAGCAACTCAATCATGATTTTCAATAATTTCATATGATCCTCCAGCGGTGGCTCATGAAATATAATTTCAAATTCACTGATAAATCATGCACAGGAAGTACCACCTCCAAATTCCTAACTCTTCAGACACAAAGCAGTTCTCCGAATCAAAGGCCTGTTCATAACAGAGTACCACCGCAGTAACATGAATGGAGTATGGAATCAGCTTCCGGTGTCCTTTGGAAGAAAACATTTCATTGTGTGTTAATGCTTCGCCTCCTTTGCTATACACGGCTAATTTATTGCTGGGAACCAAAAGCAAATGGTGATGTTTTGTTTTTCTTTTGAAGACTATTTCCACACACTTCTCAGATGACATTTTTCACTTTCTGGGTGTGGTGGCAGTGATGAATTGAGAGCAAGGAAATGACACATGCACTGTTGTATTTGGTGGAGCCTCCCCTAAAACAATAACTTCACAATATATATACATTGTGATGTGATGGAGTAATTTAGCCAATCATTCACCAGACCTGTAGATGGTAATGTTGTGCAGAATCTCTCAAGCCAGTCAGGCGATGAAAAACAAACCAGTATGACAGCCTTCCTCAACCTGGTGCTTACCGAATACTCTGGACTCCAAATACAATCAGCCCCAGCCAGCATGGCCAGTGGCCAGGAATGATGGGAACTGTAGTTCAAACCATCTAGAGGGCACCAGGTGGGTGACTGCTCATATACATCATGGTTTCCAGAGTCATCCTAATACAGTGGTACCTCGGGTTACAGACGCTTCAGGTTACAGACTCCGCTAACCCAGAAATAGTACCTCGTGTTGAGAACTTTGCTTCAGGATGAGAACAGAAATCGTGCGGCGGTGGCGCGGTGGCAGCAGGAGGCCCCATTAGCTAAAGTGGTACTTCAGGTTAAGAACGGACCACCAGAATGAATTAAGTTATTAACCCAAGGTACCACTGTAGGGATAAAGATTGGGGTACAGTTTAAAGCTCTTCCATCCCTGTGTCTCCTGTATCTGTTGTGTCTTCCAGATCTCTCCCCAGAGATGCCATTATCATTACTTGCCCTGCCCCAAAGACTGGATGGGAGAAAATGGAATGAGAAAAGGGCTCCAAGTAACCATAGCATTTCATGATCTCAGCAGCAGTCATGGTGTAGCTCAGGAGCCCTGCTGACTGGATTGACATCAGTGTCCCAATATGGGTCAATCCTTCTGCTTATCCACCACTATCACAATACCTTCATAGGCTGAAGAAGGAAATTTATATACATAAAGAAAATAGGCTAATGGGTTTTATATGATCCTCTGCAATCCCCACATTAAGCAGCATCAGACAAAGAAGCATATTACATGAACAGATTGACTTCCGCTGTTCAGGTGAATTGTAAGGTATCTGAGCATGTTAAGCTTTTGCTCTGATTCATGCTAATTGGGGGAAATGCATGCAACAATACAGAAGGCAATATCCGAGTCTGAGGGCTGAAGCTCTCACTCTGAGAGGGAACCATCTGGCACTCCATCATGAAATCTCTAATGAAAACATCATAGATCAGTCTGTCCGTCACCTAGGCATCTGACAGAAATTGAAATGCAGATTTACCCATCATCTTTCATCTGGTAATCATAGGCAACATAATAAAGCACAGGAGACGGAGACCTGAAATTGATTGCACGTGCCCCTAAACTGGGTAACATGGAGTTCAAAACGCTTCTTTGAATTAGGCCAACATTTGGTGCAAATGTCACTGATATTTTCCTTCTATTTTAAAAATCTTTCCCAACAAGCTTTTATTTCCCAACAAGCTTTTATTATACCTTGCAGACAAAACCCTGCAGATCATAAATAGGACAAGAGGCAGTTGCTACTCTCTTTACGGTATTTAATGCTGCAAGTGGAATTCAAAGGACAGCAGCAGCACAATAGTACAACCTCTCTTGGTGGTTTGGATTTGTACTTCTAGAAGAGCCAGCCCTCCTCCCACTTCACAGAAAAAGCTGTTTATTAATTTGAATAGGATTCCTGCACATGGCAGAAAAGGGCTTGCTGGGGCAAGAACACCCCCCCCCCCACGCAAAGAGTACTCATTAATGGTTACTTGTCATCCTGGGAAAAAGTGACTGGTGGGGTGCCGCAGGGTTCTTTCCTGGGCCCGATGTTGTTCAACGGCTTTATAAATGACTTGGATGAAGGAACTGAGGGGATGCTCATCAAATTTGCAGATGGCACCAAACTGGGAGGCGTTACTAATGCCACAGAAGACAGAATCAGAATTCAAAATGACCTTAACGGATTGGAGAACTGGGTGCAAGTCAACAAAATGAATTTCAATAGGGACAAATATAAGGTTCTGCACTTAGGCAGAAAGAACCAGATGCACAAATATAAGAGGGGGACACACCTGGCTTACTAGCAGTACATGTGAAAAGGATCTACTCCTACTCCTACCCCTACCAACACTATTGCTGATTAAGGGAAGCACTGGGGAGTTGCCCTTCTCTGGTAAGAGTGTTAGGACAGATTCAGAATTCCCACAATCTATGGGCCTTATTCCTCCCTGCCTTAGAGGTTGTTGCAGGAAGTGTAACTTTAATTAGGGTTCATCCTCTCTGCATAAAAACTACTGCAGGAAGATACTGTTTTTTAAAAAATCCCGTATCAGCCAGTTGAGACAGCATGAAACATTCCTTCCTGAGTCCCGCAAAGAGGAGCCAGTCAAAGCCTCAAATGAGGCTGAACTTGGGGAAATAATCTGATACAGGCATCTCCCAAGTCTCACTAGTCTAAATGTTATGATTGCTGGGAAATCCTAGCCATCATGAGATTTCCTTCCTCAAAGTCTTTCTGTATCTGGGAACCCCACAGACATTGCAAGATTCAATCACCTTTCAGCATTCCACTTTTGCCTCTAAGAGTAGCAGGTAGAAGTCACAACCTCTTGCCAGCCCTCACAGACCATCCTGAGAAGCAGGAGGACTAAAGTGAATGGGACTTCGAGTTCTTTATGCAAAGTACAGTGCTATATTTGGATTCCAATCCTATGTCCACATACTTGGAACCAAGCCCTACTGAACTCAGAGGGACTTATTTCTAAGATCGGAGCCTGATGCTATTTTGTGAGATTTTTTTGTGTATTTTTTACAGCAAGGAGTTTCTCTGAAGTTATCCTAGTCACCCTGAACACATCTATTGTTTGAGATAATATTTGTCGTTTAAAAATCATACTTTATTATCAAAAGGTATTGAAATGCAAATACTTTCCCATCATTTGCATTCCACTCTTTTGGTGCAGTTGTGTTTTTCAATTTACAGTACGAATCATTATGGTGGCAAGCAGCCACTTCTTCGAATCAGATAAAGAAACCTTGATCAAGATGGCACTTCTCTTTTAAAATGTATTTTAATTAGCAGCGCTTGTTCAGATAGCAAGCTTCATTATCTGAATCCATAATGGCGCTGGAAGATAAACATGCATGTAAGCTTATTTTCCCATTAACTCAGAAACCTGGGACGAGAATGGTAAATACTTCAAAGGAGAAGCTTGATTTGTGACTCTCTGCTCCTTTTTAACCCTCAGAGAACTCCAATGTATTTAAGCAGGGTAGAAAGAAGTCACACCTCCTCCCTAGGTGGAAGTATACATTACCTTGGCAAACATACTTCCCCAACCCACATTTGCTAAAGTAACCAGCATATGGGGGCAAATATTATGAATAGGTAACACCACCTGCCAACCTCCCTCCCCCATCCCCAGCTGGGCTTACTTCCTATCTAGGAATCAGGCTAAGGATAAAAAGAATCAAACATGGCCCGATGATGGCAGTTACATTCCAGCAACTTCAGAAGGGCACCACATTGGACGCATCTGGCCTCATGTAACAATTCCATTAAAGTAATGGACATGAGTGGGAAACCATAGGGCAATCTCTCCTCCCACCCCCTATGAAACACACACACACACATCCTGGTACCATTCACATGGTTTGGACTACAACTCCCACAAGCCCCAGCCTGTATGGTCAGCGGCCAAGAATGATGGAAATTGCAGTCCAAAAGAACTGACGAGCACCAGGTTGTGGAAGGCTGCCCTACAAAAGATGCACCTTTGAGCTAAATGTACCATAGTTATGATAATATAAGGAGCTTCCTATGTTTCTGAGTAATGGTTTTGTGTCTCTTTTATATGGATGATTTTAATTTCATCTTGGGGCCCTAGGTTTAAAGGTGAAGGAGAGATAAATTTATTTTTAAATGAATATATATTCCTGTATTTCTGAACACAAGCAATAACGAAACTGGTGTTGCAATCAAGGCACAGTAATTAAAATAGATCTGACTTAGTAATGTTTTAATTTGAGATCAGGTCTATGATCTATACGAGCCATTAGAATCTGAAGATAAACTATTGTTCAGTGGAGCAACAGATGTGACTGCTGTTGTTAATTGCGCTTGTCACTATTTCACAAAATAGAGCAACTTACAAAATAATATAAAGATTAAAACCTGAACAAAATAAAAACCTACTAACACAACCATATATGTACATGTAAGACAGCCTACCCACTGGAAGAGGCCACAAGGAGCCACAGTCCTCTGAATTAAGGGTCTAAAGCATTGGTAAAAAGAAATGTTTTCACTTGGTGCCTAAGAATAGACAGTGATGGGGCCAGGTATGCTTCCCGGAAGCCAGCACTCCACAAGTGGGAGCCACCACTAAAAATGCCCGTTCTCATGTTGCTGCCCTCCACACCTCCTTTGGAAGAGACACGTGGGCAAGGGCCTCTCTCCCAGAATTATAGTAGCAACTGTCTCAGAACAGTTTTTCAGATCTATCTATCAGCCCCTCTCCATGTCACATGTCAGCAAAGCTTCACTACTTTCATGGTGTTTGATGCTGGTTTTTGTCAGCTGTTGGCACATTCCATCTGAGGTACAGTATGTATTTTCTGGCAATGGAAGAAAAAAGTTCAGGCTGTCGGATGTAACAGTTGATTTATTCAGGGACAAGTTGATACCGTGACACAATGTTTTAATAACTGGTAATCTGAGATTATTGAAACCAGAAAATGTACATAACTGCATTAGAAAGATGAATTAAGCCTGACAAGTGAGGCTAGCAAATGTTTGCTATTGATTTACTCTCCAAAAAAAGCGATAGGGTTGCCTTTCTTCAAACGTAAATGTGTATTTATGCAGTATGTCTGCCATTTTTAGTATCTATTCATATTGATTGATCTGAAATTAGTTTATAAAAAATCTATTGCTGAATTATGAAAAACTGGTCTTTGATTCAGCAGCCCTGGTATTCCTTAAAATAGTACGCACCAGGAAAAAATATATTTGAGTGTGGCAGTGTTTGGATTCCACTCCTAAAACTGGAACATCAAAAATCCCTAGTGTCTGCAGGTAAGGTTCAGAGAGACTCCTGCCTTGAAATCCTGAAAACTGCTGCCAGTCAGTGGATACAATACTGAGCTAAATGGGCCTGTGGTCTAAGTCAGCTTTATATAGTCCTTTGTTAACCAGGTCTGGGGGCCAGAAATGCAGTTTGCCGCAAAAACTTGTGCATCTGCTCACAGGATAGTCAGGTGATATAATAAATTTGATGCCACTTGGCAAAAAGGGCTTCCCTATTATATAGGATAGTCAGTCATTGCATATAAAATTCAAGGACAGCTGTAGCTTGATGTCTCTTATCATTTGAACATTTACTAACAAATTCCTTGTAGGTGAAACTGTGGGCAACTTGATCTTGCACTGATTAAAATTTATCTGGAGTCTGGATAAAATAGCTCCAGGGAACTTATCTGGCTATTCTTGCACACTTTCCCTTCCCTTCGCCTCTGATTTCATTTACGACCTCCTGAAACAATTTTGACCCATCAAGCTGAATGCCGCCAATTAACTAAATATGGTTACGTGGGCCTTAAGATAGCTCTTTCTCCCCTTCTGTTCTCGTTGTCTGAATGCTTGCTACGTTGAATAGAACCAGGGGAAGAAGCTGTGATTAGAATGCTTTAGTTGTAATAATATTACATATTTTGCCTAAAGAGCCCCACAAATGAAGCCAGGGCCCTCTAGCAGGTTCAGAATATAACTGAAAGCACTTGTAAAAAGCACTGAATCCTAAAGAACCGATGGCACTGTGCTTTTAATATAACTTGGAAAATTAGGCTACATTAAACAAAACAAAAAAGTTTCTTGCATTTCACATTAAAATGCTGAAGAACCATATTCACCTTGATCCAGAGAACTTCAGGAGCAGCAGAGAGCGGTGTTCATATTGCTACCCATGTGGAGACAATGCCTAATGCAGAAGCCAATACATTGGGTAGCAATATATAGTTATGGTATATCAAATCCCACACACTTCTGCACATCCAAATAGCAGATCCATGCATGGAAATCTTTTTGCACAACTGAGTTGTGTTAATTGGACCTGGGTGACGCTGGCCTCACTGGTGTATATATAGGTTGAAAGAATTCTGCTGTTGTCCAAAGCAAGCTCAACATGCAACACTGAAATAATCAGACGTAAGAATGTACACTTAGAGGCATCATCCTGATATGTTCAGGTTTGTTCAGTCTGCGACTGGATGGCAATGAATCTCGGTATCTTCCAGGCTTCTCTGCAGAGCCACAAAAGCTGCAAAATATGGCTCCTCCGCTGATTAGACATGCTGAAGTGATCCAGCCTAAATAGAGTGCAGGTCCCAGTTCACGTTTACGGCCAAACTGGATTACTGGATTGTGGAAGTCCTCGATGATGTTTTTGGCAGTCCAGGAAACAGGAATCAGCACAATGACCCCAGTCAGAAGGAAAATTGCTCCAGCTGCCAACAGAATCTTGTTCTTCATCTGCTCATTACTGCCAGGACATCGGATGCACTTTGTGCCAGCAATGGCAATCAGAAAGGCAATAACTGACAGGGCACATGCTGTGCACATTAGTCCTCTGGATGCTTCCAAGGCAGGTGGAAGGGCCAACAAGGATCCGTAGAATTTGCACTGATGCTTCTTGAAATGATTGACGCACACCATCCATAGACCCTCCCAAATGGTCTCAAAGACTATGATGTTACTTTCTGTGAAGGCAGATACTTTCCACTGAGGCATCAGAGTGACGGTAAATGTTCCAACCATGCCAATGCCCCCAAGCAGCAGGGCCACAGTTTGCAATGCACAGCAAGCCATGGGGCTTCTCAGAAAGCGATGCCCAAGCAAAAATAATTCAGGAATACTTTTCTAAAGAAGATCTTGCATTTCTCCCCAAAACATAAGAATCTTCCCCATAGTTTCTTCATGTGGCAAATGAATTTAAGATGGACTGTGCCTGTAATCCTGAAGAACAAGGAGGAGGAAATCCACTTCTGCCTAACCTGAAGGAGCTTCTATATATTTCATCTAAAGTTCCACAGTGAGTCAAGGCCCAATACCTTTGTGGCCAATCAGATTCTGTGCAAGGGTGAGTCCAGACATATTCTACCTGACATTGTTGTTTTTTGTGTGTTCGAGTGCTGCTAACATGCTATAATTAAATGATTATGCTCTAATTTTAGATCCCCAATTACAGCACTAATAATTATTTTTCAGCAATAATCATTGCATCAGTGTCAAAGCACAATAGCTTAATCACATTTTCCGGTTAAAAACGTCACATAAACACATTTACAATTTACTGGTGACAAAAAAATTGGAAGGTTTATTTAGGTTGAGTTTAGAAGTTTTTCAATGCTGCAAACAAAAGAATATGAACGTGTGTGTGGATATATGATACGATACGATAATCTTTATTGTCATTGTCCTATACAGAACAACAAAATTGAAAAAATCTACATCAGACATTCAAAAACCAACAAGCCTGCTATCCCAGCTTGGTTAACCCCCTAAAAACTCTGATACTCCATAATTAAATACAATATACTCCCATAGAGACTACTTTACACTGCGTTTAAAACCAAAATCGCATTTGGATAGAAACTGTTTCTCAGGCGGCTAGTCCTAGTCTTTATAACACTGTACCTTCATATATATATATATATATATATATTATATATATATACACACACACTCTCTCACTCTCTCTCTCTTTTACAATGTAAATTGGGGTGGGCAACCTGAGCTCATCCAGATGTTGTTGGCCAACAACTCCCATATGTCCCAACCAGTATGCCCAATTGACAAGAATGGTGGGAGCTGTGGTCCAACAACATCTGAAGAGGTATAGGTTGCTCACCCCTGCTATACGTCTTTTCTAAGTTCTGCCCAACTTTCTCAACAGATGTGCTTAGTTTGCTAATGGGATCTTAATACAAAAAGGGGAAATGTGTGTTTCCTTTGCAGCAGCCACTCCCGTCACCTCCTATGCTGTGTCCCCACCCCTCCAAAAAAGATAGGGGAACCAGTACAGACAGAAGGGGGAACCAGGAAAAATGCCCTGGCCACTTTCTGATTATGGAAGACTCTGCTGGATCAGAAAGCCTACCATGAGGAAAGGGACATAATTCGGCAATCTGGAATTTCTAGGCATGAGAGCAATGTTCCTCAAAGAGTGAGCCAAGACCCACCAGTGGCTCTTTGGCCACTTTCAGATGGGTCTCAGTGCCACAGCCTGCCCAGCGCCTCCTCACTTGCCTTTCCCCACCATTCAGCCATGACATAGGCTTTTGGTTGGACCAGTGCCAGCACTAGCAATTCCTTGCATGCTGAGTAAAAACAACCAGTAGGAGGAGGAAAATGTGACTAGAAAAGGACCAAGGAGGAAAGAGAGAAGAAACTGGGAGGGGTTCTGTGGGGGAGGCATGGAAGATATAGTTCAAGAAGAATGGGTGAAGAAATGATAAAAAATACTTTGGGAGGCACAATAATATAGAACTGTAGAGTTGGAAGAGACCCTGAGATCCTCCAAATTCTCCTTAAAATGGGGAGACTGAGTCACAATAACCTCATAGCAAATGTCTCCTCTAAAGCTTGTGGAAAGCTGAGCTCTGAAACTTCACACCACAAGAAAAACAGGATAGCAAAAGGATTTAGCAATTTCAAAAGACAGAGTAGAAATCAGTAGAAAGTGATGCCAGCTGATTATGCCAAACTCTGTCTCCATCTGTCATCATTTTGCAACTGGCTCTGTCCCTGCACTATCCTTTTGTGATGGGGGGAGGGGTGGCTCAGTAGTTTTCAGCCATCTCAAGTGGACCTTGGGGTAGAAAGTTTGGGAATCCCTGCATTGGAGATTGAGAGTGCAGTAGCACAGACACATTCTGCACTCACTGTGAAGTTTTGTTCTCTCCTCACAATAAAATTGTGCCCCATGTTCTTCCCTTCTCCAGGAGAACTGTAAAGCATATGTACGTAAGCAAATATTAAGGTGTATATGTATATATATTAGGTAGCGGTACAAAGATCCTGTGCAGAGTCCAAAGTCCAGGGAAATGTCACTTTCTTGATGGCGTAAACTTGAGTAGCATGAAGGCATTCAGGTTAAGCAGACTTTTGAGTGCCAAAACCCCAAAACTGGCATAAAAATAATGAAACTTGGGGCACAGTATTGCAACATTAATGTGAAAAACAAACTCTTAATGTGCCCTCTTTTACTCCCCACAAAGCTGTCTCAAATTGTATCAGGGCCACAGTGTCTCTGCAATTTCTTGATACCAGCAGCTTGCCTCAGAAAAACTGCCTCACAAATTACCTCGGAATGGCACCTACTAGGCAAGTGCATTTTTGCCCTTCCTTCTTGGAGGCTTCAAATGTATGTTTTTTGTTTGTTTAGGAATCAGGGATACATTCGCCCTTGCTTAAATTGCCCAAGTTCCTCATGACTTGTGACAGAGAGGCAATTAAAATTGGTAGTCAGGTGAGCCAGTTGACGAACTAAAGCTGCTCACATACCAGTCTCTGTAGCTAACATTTGCAATAGAGCTGAAATATTTGAGGAACAGCATTAGACCGCACCAACTAAAAAGAGGATTGTGTTTATTTTTGTGTGTAAGGTGTAACCACGCTGAAAGACACTCTTGTCATCTCAAATGATAGAATAATTACTGGTATTGAAGCCTGAGGGGAGTGAAATAGCAGCAGGACAGATGAGTATATAGGTATTATGAATTCCACAAACATAGACTGTATCTGAATGTGTTCTCCAGAATTCCAAAGGATATTGTGGGTTTAGTTTGCGATTTATTTTTTTAGCAAACCATTAAAACAAAGTTGAATAACAATCTTCATTATTGTTATGGTGTAAAAGAGAAAAGACTGAGGTCCTGGTTCCAGTTTTCGACTGCAAACCAGGTTATTCTGTGGAAAACCCAAGAAGGGATAGCTCGCACTCTCATTACTGCTTTGCTATTTAGCAGAGGCTCTGTAGGGCTGCCAAATGGGACAGAAAATTTATTGCCCCTGTGAATCAGTGTAAACCCGCCGTCCTCATGTTTTAACTCTCCCAGAGACTGCATGCTCCCAGCTAAGTTGATGTTCCTGGAACATGTTCTTACATCTAATTCACACATGCAGTTAGTCATTTGGAAATGCAAATAGATAGAGGCTGTTGCACATGGCAAGCTGTTTCTGTCACTCCTCCCAGTTCTAACAATTTTCCTGGAATTCAGCAGTAAACAGAGTAAACAAAGAGCATTGCACTGCCTGAGATGCAGACCCTCCAAGTGTCCCTATTTTCCAGGGATGTCCTTGATTTAGAGAAGCCATCCTGGTTTCTGATTTGATCCCGGAATGTCCCACTTTTCCTTAGGATGTCCCTATTTACATTGGCAAAATGTTGGAGGGTACAAAGTTATCCGACCCATGAGCTGTCTGAAAGCAATCCTGTACAGGAAAGTTTTTTTAATGTTTAATGTTATATTATGTTTTTATATATGTTGGAAGCTGCCCAGAGTGACTGGGGCAGCCCAATAATATGTGTGGGGTATAAATAGTGAAATTATCATTTTGGAATGGACTATCCCTCTTTTCATCGGAGAAACGTTGGAGGGTATGGAGTTGTGTATCCGCCATCCTCACTCTTCCTCTCACCCCACTTGCTATAAACATTGTTTTGCTATTGCTAATGCAGCAGCATACATGATCTCTCTGCCTCAGCCTCCTGTGTGCCTAGCTCTTCCTACTAAAGTTACCGTATTTTTCGCCCTATAGGGCGCACTGGCCCATAGGGCGCACCTCGTTTTTTGGGGGGGAAATGAATAACAAAAATTTATTTTCCCCGCCAGCCACAGGGCTGGGGCGGGGGAAGCCCGAGCTTCCCCCGACCCCAGCCCCCAGAATAGGCTTGCGGACACCTGCGCGAAGCACGGGGCGCCCTCTGGAGGGTGCCCCGTGCTTCGGGCTGCAGGCTGCTGCCCGCAAACCTTGCAAGCCCACGGGAACTCCCGCCAGGCTTGCAAGGCTTGCGGATAGATTCCTGAAGCCTGGAGAGCGAGAGGCGTAGGTGCGCACCGACCCCTCTCGCTCTCCAGGCTTCAGTGAAAGCCTGCATTCGCCCCATAGGACGCACACACATTTCCCCTTCATTTTTGGAGGGGAAAAGTGCGTCCTATAGGGCGAAAAATACGGTACTTTATTAACCTATAACTTTTTATTTATTTATTTAAACAAAAACAATTTCCAGCCACAGCAAAATGGCTAGAATTTCCTGGGCCCCTCAGCCAGAATGCTTCACTTTGAGGAAGCACACCGTGGCTCAGAGTGAGGCATGAGGGTGAGACAGGTTTCTTGGAGTCCTGAGGAGCCTTGCCAGGTGGTGGGTAGTGGTGCCAGTAGAAGTGGGTGACCACAAGGCAAGCTACCAGGGCCCAAGAGTGTGCTAATTTGCTCCTCTCTGGGCCCTGACATTAATTCAGCTGGATTGCACAAAATCGCTCCCGTATGAAAATAATCTAACAGTTGAAAGCATTTCCACAGTTAAAGGACATTTTGTTAGTTCTTCAGCATGGCACACATAACATTCTGCTGCAGTTTAAACAGAGCAAGGTTATCTTCAACATATCAGGACATTGTCACATAAATATGACCAATACCTCTATAAGTAACAAACCAATAGAGTAACTTTGAATATTCTTTCTGGGAAAGAACTCTGCACAGCAGTGGGGGTGGGAAGTAGGACAGGGTGGAGAGTCAAGATAAGAAACATTTACTGCAGTGCTGAAGTCTTTGGGGTGGGGAATTTGCTGAAGTCTTGTGGAAGGGAGGGAATTGGCTGGCATCCAGTTCAGCTGGTAGAAAGACTGGAATAGCAAAAAATGCACAGTATGCTCGGAAAACTCTAGTTATATGCTATGTGACTCACCTGATTATATATTCAGTTAACCTTTTTAAAAATTGCAAGCAGTCTTAGCAGCTACTGTAACATGAATGGTTTGCATTCCCTACAGACCTGTCAAATGAACTAAGCTAAAGTGCACTGTGAGTATTGCATGCATGCATGCATGCATGCACACACACAAAAACACACACACAGGCAAACCTTGTTAGTGTTTATACTTGGATTTGTAGTATTTGTGCATTTTTCCATCTGCCACATACAGTTCCAGAAAGATGCCAAACTGCATTAGAATTCGCCTACAGGACAGCATGCCACATGCTTCTTCATGGCTGCCATTCTGCATGTTGTTGTGGTTACGTATATCTTTACAATTCTGCCTAATGCACCCTGCAAATCGCCAGGAAGGTCACACAAAACAGATGAAGTTTAAAATATTTTTATTAAAACGTGTTAAAACTCTTTTGCCACAGAACAAACAATAATGTGCAGGAAAATAATGGTAGAATATAGTTAGATTGAAAAACAAGAAAAGAAAGCACACAACCTTTTATCACTACTAAGAAGAGTTAGTACTATTGGGCAAAAAAAATTGTTTTCAGGAAATGTACAGAATGTATACTTTGAAATTTTAAAATATTCAAGCACATCATTCCTCTTCTTTTTTTACACAGCCAAGCAACACTTCAATAAAAGCTTTATATGGTTTTTAAAAAATCAAATATAGATTTAGAGAAGTTTTCCCCCACCTTCATTTTCCCCTTCACCTCCCAATAAGAGCCTCTGCTATATTTTGCATATTAATATAGCATTGATCATAGTGGACTTCAGTAAGATAGAATTTTTGTTGTAACATAACCTACCCCCCCACTGCAAAGCAATTTCAAATTACTATTAGAATGAAAACATATTCCCCTTAATAAATGCTAATAAAAAAATACAAAAACCTTGGACAATATTCAGTTCAAATTTCTGATGCTGCTCTGAAATATCTGAAGACGTTCCCTTGTGTTCTAGAGCTTGCTTTGTCTTAGAGGTCACAGACAGTTTCCTGGATTTTGCTCCATTGTACACAGCGTGCTGTACTAGCAGAGTTTCTTCTAGAATCCAAGTTTGATCAGAAAGGATACTTCCCTTGGAAAGACAGTAAATCAAAGGCAGACTAAACATACTGACTTTTAGTGTACGAACTTTCAGCCCTTCTTGGCGTACGATGGCTCTGGAAGGCTGTACGTTGTGAAGGCACTGAGTATCGATAGCTTCTGGTTTTTTCTTCACAACGGCAGAAACAGCAAAGAATTGCTCCTCCAGCGACGAGGCAGAAGGCAGACGTCCAGCCTATGTAGAGGGCTTCGCCAAGCTCCCGCTTCTGAGCCAGCTGAATGGCTGGATTGTAGAAGTCTCGGATGATGTTGTGGGCAACGAAGCACACTGGGATGAGCACGACAATGCCAGTCACAATGAAAGTGATGCCACCTGCCAGCAAAATATACCCTTTTATTCGGTCGTCATTTCCTGTGCACTTTGTACACTTCATGCCAAGGACAGCGACTGCAAAAGCAAGGAATGCCAGGGCTGAAGCTGCGCACATCAGACCTCTGGAAGCCTGGAGGTCAGGAGGCAGAGCCAAGAGGGAGTCGTAGACCTTGCACTGCAGCCTGATGTTAGATTGCTGTATGCAGTTCATCCACAGGCCTTCCCAGGAGGTTTCAAAAACCACCACGTTGCTTTCGATGAAAGCAGTCACTCGCCACTGGGGCATGCCCGTGATGGCGAAAGTCCCAACTGCACCAATGCCTCCAAGGATCAGTCCAGCAAACTGCAAAGCAGCAGAAGCGGCAGCCATCTCTTAATTCCAGAACAGGGCTCCAGATACGTTCTGTTCAAGCGCAGGGCTTTAGGGTGTTTGTTCGTTTTGCAGATACAGGTCGTCAGCAGAAGAGAAACCTTTCGCGAGCAGCTTGTGCAGCTGTCACCTGCAGAAACACTTGCTAATTCAGACCAGTTTGAATCAGATGCATGCTGGTTAGCACTCGGCTGCTTCCTTACTGCTTGGAGTGGAGCATTCCACTGCCCCCATCATTTGGAAAGGATGGAGTTATCTATCAGGTTTAACAACTTTCAAAGCCAGTGGAAGGTCAAACACAACAGGGTTTGCAACCAGAAAAATTCTTTCTGGAAGGCACACCTGTGTCTCTGAAGAAATTCTGTCGTCGTTTACCTTTTTTTCCCCCTCCTGGCAAAATGTTAGATAGTACATAAACATTCTGAAATGGAGCCAAATGGCTTTAATATACAATCTGTAAACAAGCATTAAGTTTCCACCCCAAATTACTTTCAACGAGCCAAAGAGAAAACCCACAGGAGCATTCAACTACAGTTGTGCTCATTAGCCTATGATTAGATATGTTTGCATAGAAAACTCCTTAAAATATTTTTGTGATGTGCAATAGTTGTTTAAAACTCTCAAAACACTACTGTGGATGTGCTGAAGTATACTCCACAGGCAAATTCATCTTCGGAACAGCCGCAGGTTAGTGGTAAGGCATCTCCCTTGCATGCAGATGACCCCAGGTTCAATCTCTGGTGTCTCTACGTAGGGGCTGGGAAAGACCCCTGTCTGGAATCCAGAAGAGCTGCTGCCAGTCAGTGTAGACGGTAGTGGACAGCATGACCAGCCTGCACTGCTCACCTGACTTCCCTCTAGCTGAGTCCCTGCTGCATGCTGCAACAGTAAAGGGGAGGTGGAGGTGGGCACTGCATTGGCAGGAACACCAGATTGGCTGGCACCATGCCCCTTCTCCATCCTGGTACACAGCAGCAACTCAGCCGGAGAGAGGTCAGGTGGCAGGGGGATCACATAACAAGCCTAAGCCAGTTTCTCCTGCTCGCATCTTACACATAAGTAGCTTTACACAAATATCGCAGTTTGTAAATATTAGTGGAACAAGCTGATCAAACAGAATAGGGTTACTTGTGCGTGCAGAAGCCCTGTTGTCAAGAACAACTGAGATAATACTGAAAGCTTGTACATGGGTTTCGGTCCCTCCAGATGAACATATTGTTGGTGGAATCTGCAGCATGCTAGAGGTTTATTAGTTGTTCTGCAACGCTATCACGTTATTGCTATCTAGAGGGGCTACTGCACAATGAAAACAGGACAAAAAAACCCAAACCCAGGACATTTGTAGTACGAAAAGGTTACAGGATTTCAGAAAGAAATCACGGCTAAGCACTAATTGGAAACAGAGTAGTATAACGGCCCCAAAACTTTTGCAGGTGCAAATCATTTTGAAAGCCAGGTTGCTTATGACTGTCCTAACAGCAATAAAAAGGATGTCTGAAGGGGCCCCGTGGGTACTAAAAGATTGATAAATATCCTATTAGCATAAGAACTAAAAGTATGGTTTAAGGTAAAGACTGATCCAACTATCAACTGCTGCTGGGAATCAGGTGGGCAGAGTGCTTTGGGGCTTCCCCCAGGCATCTGGTTGGTCAATGTGATTCCAGAATGTTGGACCAGATGGGACTTCCATCTGATCCAGCAGGCTCAGCCCATGTTCCTAACTTTGGCCCCAGCTGGAATCCAGCTTCCTTTCCCCTCCCAGTTGTGCCCCTGTGAAGTACTTCCTGATGCAAGCTACCCCGGAACTGATTGGAGTTGGAAGAAGCAAAACATGTGCCGTCACAAGCTGTGTAATGGGTAAAAACAGCAATTTCTAGCCTCAGTCCTTGATAATATGCTATGTATATGCACATGCTATGCTCTGGTAATTTGAGTGTGGAGTTTGTGAAGAAGATCATTTTACTTTGGTTTGACATGCATTTCTACTCCTAGCTTTGTGCTGGTGGCACACAGTTTGTACTAGGGTGGATTGTGCTAGAATTTATAGCCGTGGCTTCATATCCTCAGGGTAGAGGCTGGGGCGACCGTCTTCTTGGGTCAGAATTCCATCCCAGCCTCTGCATTGGTTGCCTGGCTTCTCATATTAGCAGCCCGTAACCTCACTGACTTTTTAGATGTGGTGGCAGAGCTGGAAGTTGCCAGCATTCAGATCTTGGTTATATGAGAGGCCCAGTTCCAGTCGAAGAATGGATGGAGAAAGCTGATCCAAGGGAGCCTTTAGGGCCAGATGCTGCCAGTAAGCCTGATGCTACCATCCCCTGGATTAATACATGGTGCAATCCATATTCAGCTCATTATCAAATCAATAAATGCATAATTAGGGAAGTACTGCAGCCTGGATTTTTGCCCATTTCCGCCTCATAACTGAAATCAATGTTCTCTACCCTGTAACTCCTCACCTAATAACATCTTCCCCTCAAGTCTTCCAAATCTGCCTTAACTAAGATAAGGCACTAAGAAACAGTCCTGTTAAAAAGTACAAGTAATGAATGCATGATGCAGACCCACTCCAACTCTGAATTTATATAGGATATTCAGAAACCTTGTAAATTAATCAATAGCACAGGTACCTGCAGAAATTAATTATGTGATTGTGCTGTATAAATTAAAACTGCTGCAATATAAAAAAGGTAGTACTTCTTATCAAAAACCTCCTCACCTGCAATTGGAAGAAATGAAACCACTGCAGAAGACTGTGTGCCCATTACTATACGTGTGGTTTCAAAGTTTGATAGACAGCCCCCAGCAGACATAACAAAAGCAGAAATTTCAGCCTGGGAACTCTTGCTCTATTCCTTTAGTTCTTCAATGTCAGATTGTGGCTTGGTAGGTTAGGAAGTGAATGAGCACTAGTGAGCTTGTCCCACTGTCAGCCCAAGACATTTTTCAACCTTAATGGAGTGTGTCTGCACCCCTGCTAGGGCCAACTCACTTTAAATTGTTGAAGAATGCTGCAGCCAACCAAAAACACTCTCCAAATATAGACAAAACATTGTTCCCTCTCTGTCTCTTTTACACATGCATACACACAGAGACAGCCTTCCTTTGTCTAAGTGAATAAAACTGCCATTGTGTCAAACCTTATTTCCTCTTCCTACACACACAGCTATAATGTAAGAAATTTGTTTTAGCTCTCCATGCCCTGGACTTTTATGCAAGGTTTGAAATGCTTCTACGCCACAGCTTCTGATTTTTATTAGGTGAAATCCATTGCGGATGTTCCACTCACGGAACAACATTTGATCCAGCTAAGGCATCTACTAATGTTAAGAGAGGGGGAGGCCATTTCCTCCTGTTTCTCATTCGCCCCTGCAGCCCCCCCCCATCTTCCATGCTGTTTTGGAGGGCCCTCCACTGAAACAGATTTTCAGTGGGTTGCAGCAGGAAGGTGACATTGGCTGCCAATATGCTCCCAGGTCAAGTTCAAGGTTCTTATGTAAATTCAATGAGCCCTAAACAACCTGGGTCCAAATTTCCTTGAGGATTGTCTGATTCCTTGTGCTACACCTCAGTCACTGAGTTTCTCCAATAGAGAAGCTTCTGGTGGTTCCCCATGCCCCTGAGGTTCAGAACTAAGTCTCTAGGGTGGCAGGCCCTGCTCCATGGAACTCTGATTGTAGAACCACCCCTGTCTTGTTTTAGATGTCTTCTGGAAACAAGCCATCAAAATATGAATTTCTCTTTAAACCAGCCAGTATCAACTCGTGTTTTTTTAATGTTTTAAATTATGTTTTATATAATTATATAATCATAGAGTTCGAAGGGATCCAAGGGTCATTTAGTCCAGCCCCCTACAATGCAGGAATCTCAGCTAAAGCACCCATGACAGATGACCATCCAACCTCTGTTTAAAAACCTCCAAGGAAGGAGAGTCCACCACCTCTCATGGGAGTCTGTTCCACTGCTGAACAGCTCTTCCTATCAGAAAGTTTTCCCAAATGTTTAGTCAGCAGCTCCTTTCTTGTAACTTGAAGCCAAGTCATTGTCTACCCTCCAGAGCAGGAGAGAACACGCACGCTCCCTCTTCTGTGTGACAGCCCTTAAGATATTTGAAGATGACTATCAAATCTCCTCTCAGTTTCCTCTTTTCCAGGCTAAACATACCCAGCTCCTTCAAGTGTTCCTCATAAGCCTTGGTTTCCAGACCCTTGATCGTCTTGGTTGCCCTCCTCTGCACACGTTCCAGCTTGTCAACATCCTTCTTAAATTGTGGTGCCCAGAATTAGACACAGTATTCCATGTGCGGTCTGACCAAGGCAGAATAGAGCGGTGCTATTACTTGATCTGGACACTATACTTCTGTTGGTAGTGTAGATATATACCATGGATATTTATAGACTAGCTATATATATGTTGTGAGCCTCCTTTTTATATTATGTGAAAGAGCGGGCCAAGGTTATGAATGTTCAAATAAATAAGCAAAGTAGCTCAGTAACAGATAAAATCACCCAAAATATTAGCACAGAGATTTGGGCCCTGATACCTAATATTTTTGTGCCAGTTTGTAATACTGATAGATTATTCTTGGGGCAGCTGCATCTAGCTTGTGGACATTTTCAACTTCCAACTCTCACAAATGAATAAAAACAAAATCATTCCATTCTAGCATGAATAGTCTGAATGAACAAAAAGTTGCTACATGGATAATAAAACAGCAACAATCCAGCATTCAGTCCCATTGGGTAGTGATTGTATTGATTTGTGTTAAATCAGGGCTAAATATGATGCCCGCAGAGGACTCAGCACTGAGAATTTTGTTGGTGTACCGGGAGGGGGAGTCCCACCCAGCACAAGTTGGCAAGGTGATTGGCTCTGATAACCAGCTATGCTGCCAAAGGGGACAGCTGATATATCCTGTAGGTCCATGACTGTAGATCCAGGGACAGATGCTGAGAATTGCCCAGAGTAAGAAAACAAACAGATAAATGATAAAATAAAACATACAGATAAAAATGTGCTTGGCAGAAGAGTCTATTAAGAAGTTCACAACTAAAAACAGAACTTGAAGATGGTCTGAGTTTAATGGGACTTAGATAAATTGTTTAACTGATGATGATGTTGATAATGAAACATCATAGTGGGGGTTGCCCTTCCTGAAACAATACACACAGTGGAATTATTGAGACTATTTTTAAATGCTTAGACATATGTTTGATTAAGCAGTATGTAACCTTTGCTAAATAAATAAATTAAATGGATCGAGATGTAGCAATGAAGCTCTCTAGTCAAATACTGTGTACAAAAAATGCATATATTATGGGAAAGTGTGCATAATAATGCATGTATTCATGAAAATAACATATAAAATGTATTTTATTATTGGAGATTGCTTGCAAAAATGTGTTTCAAATGTGTGAATCAGGAGAAATGCAATTTAAAAGCATGGTAAATTTTCATGAGGACTTACATTTTAAAAAGTCCTCGTGAGAATTTGCCAGGGTTTAATAACTTCATTTAAACATGGCTCTGTATAAGAATAACTTGCTTGTGCAGGATTCCACATGCTCCACAGGATGCCCCGAAGATATGAATCCCTGATGTAGTAATGCTGCAGGGACCGGCACGGGCAACCTGATTTAAACATGACCCTGACCCCCTGGATCCCTGCATCCAATACTCAGTTCTTGGTGAACTTTCTGCATTTCGTTTAAACCATACCTTAGGCAAAACTATTCTTTCTTTCTTTCTT